AGGTCTTCGAAGGCCTAGCAGCAAAAACCATTGTCATATTCGGAATCAGCATAGTCGATAACCTATTCTCCACTAGGTTTCAAGAAAAAAGCGAGCGGACACTTGGGGCAGTTCCCTCGTCAGTAATTTCTCTATGAAAACTAAATTTTTTCAGATATATAAGTGATATTCGTGATCAGCGTAAAATTCTGCATATAATCCATCCATCTCTAGAAAATTTGGGAAAAATACGTTTTCGCGAAAATTTTGAGAGAAAGGCTTCAAAAACTTTACATCACAATTTCGTCACACAAACTAGTGCAAAATGATCCCAGTGTTCCTCTGACATGTTCCTTGTTAAGGATCCCCTGCCGTCAGAAATTGTCTCTGACACCGTACATCCGATTTTGACCAAACTCTCCGTGGCCAACAACGACTAAAACCCGAAAAATCCTTTCGGGTTTTCTGAAATCTTCAGTTTGACAAAAACCTAAGACTTAATTCAAAATCGGCGCCGGTCAGTCCATGTACTTTCTTTTTCTTGTTTAAACACAAAAGAATGAACTTTCTACGATAAACCGCTATAAAAAATCTTAGGAAATACTTCAAGTATAACTTTTATGTAGAGAAAACGCTGTATTAATGAACAAATGTACATATAGGGTGCTCGAAAACATCGAGAGTGGGTAGTGAAAAAGGTCCAACAAATATATTTGGATAAAAAATTGTGACCGAAGTTGCAGAAAAATTCCACGATGGCTTTTCTTCTAAGATTTTTATGACCTTTGGGAAGCATTTCTGATCAAATTCTTTTATATATTTTTGTACTAGACACTTTGCTCTTTCTAACAAAAAAAGAATAAAGTCTCTACGATATTCCATGGCAACGCTATATAAAAAACAAAATTAATGCAAAACTTTTGCACCACCCGTTATCTGCCCGGGTCCAACCACTTTGCGTTTTTTCGTCTTGCATCTGTAATGCTTTTGCTGGCTAAGCGGTGTAAATGTATTTCTCAAGCTAATATTTATATTTTTATGATTTCTCGGTACTGAGTATATACATAAATTATAAATCCACGCATGCTTTAAAATTCTAAGTTCGGCCCGGCCCGATCCGACCAAAATACTTTGCGACCCAAGTCCGGCCCGATCATTCTGTAAAACTTTCTGGTCCGGCTTTAACAGCGTAGGAAACACAATGACTTGTCAAGTATCGAACGAAATGAAATATTATTAATCTCTTGTCTGTTGGAATTCTGGATAATTCTCTTCGAGTAGATATGAATTGAAAAATAAAATAACAAAGTAAAAAGTCAATATCGTTTGTGTTCCATTTTTGTAGAGCAAGAAAGAAATTCTATTTGCAAAGCTATTCAATGATAAGGAAAGGTGCCATTTTTACTTTTGTTTCACTTTCATCAGCATAAGAAATAGAGTAAGTTAAAGTGCCTGACTAATCCATGCGTAGAACGATAAAATATTCGTTCGATTACAGTGAGTAAAAGATATTTCACGGTTCAATTCCAAACAGTATCAAGTTTTCTCATATAAAGACAAGTCGATATTGTCTAACTCCATTTATCATGACTCAATTCTCTAAATATTTGTGTCACTGTTAGTTTTGAATTAGAACATGAGAAACTAGCTAATGTTAGAAGTAAAATTACATATTTGATTGCAATTAATACTTTTTCATGTCATATGAATACGCCAACATTGTTGATACTGTTCGGGCAAGATTACATATCAACTTGTCTTGTTTCTTCGTGAATGAAGGATCTCTCTCACACAGACTCAGATGCCACCAAACAAGAAGATTAAAAGCTAAAATTTAAACGCTAAAATTTAAACGCTAACCATGAAAACTAAAACAGCCATTAGGTGCCTCTACGTGCTGCATAGGAAGTATTTGTTCAGTGTCTTTTCTAGATCCACGGACGTTTCTAGGACCCATCAGTTCCAAGCAGTCTAATCAATGATAAGTCAAGCGATAAAAGCGGCTGATCAACCACGAGCACAATGGTATTGGAAATCTAATTTTGATTCGTGGTCAATAAATGGAAAAGAAGAATGGACAAAATATTCTGATAGAGAATCGAAGAAGCATTTAATGGAAAAAATAAAACAAAACTAGTAAGAAATACAAAACTGCTACAAACATGATTCATACAAATCACAGTGCTATTATTTTGATTTATTATTGATATTTCGTCATCATCAGAATAAACTTTTATAAAAGTTTATTCTGATGATGACGAGTGAACATCGTCGAAATATCAATAATAAATCAAAATAATAGCACTGTGATTTGTATGAATCATGTTTGTAGCAGTTTTGTATTTCTTACTACGTTTTTTCAATATTACTGCTGGACCAAAACGTTTTAAAACAAAACTAGCTGAGCTGAATAATTATTCGATTAACTTAAACGATTCTACTCAAATCAGTAAATTGGATCCAAATAAAAAATGGCAAATAAAACGAGTTCTAATCAGTAGAAATGAAAATCAAGGTTTAAGAGAAGATTCTTTCTTCCACTAGCATTGACTAATACGTCCAATGATGTCTGGGGCAAAGATGCTTATACTTTTCTTTCACAGTGGAAGAAAGGCAAGAAACTTTCCGATGCTGAAATAGTGAAGCAGGCAGATGATGGAATACTTATCGAAGGAAAGCAGCTAGGTCAGCATTGTGACTCACAATATGTAGCTCGCCAACTAACAGCCATGGAAAACAAGGACAGAAAGGAAATTTACAACTGCTACATTCACCTATACACAATAGAATGCTTTCTATACAAACTAATAAATAAAGCACTGAGAGAAAACGACAAAAGCAAAGTAAACACTCTCGCCGCTTTTGCTACATTTTATTCAGAAGCTGGATAAACACAGTTACCAAACATGCAGCAGAACTTTATCGAGGAGTAAACATCGATCAGAACATGCCTTAATCTTATGAGGAAGCGGTTGACCAGAGCAGATGCTGGGATGGCTTTACCTCAACTAGCAAAAAACGCAAAACTTCGACAATACCTTATTCATTATCGACGCAACCGAAAACAATGGCTTAGACATATCGCCACTTTCCAAATACGACGAAGAAGAAGTCTTGCTTCCTCCCGGAATAGCATTTCAAACCGCAGACGTCCAGTAAAACCCAACCAAAATCTATATATATTTAAAACTACTGAATAACAACCATACATCACACCTGCCATAATCGATTCAGTTGACGCCATTTTCCTGTCGTTAGATCATCACTGCTCTGACCACAGTGAAATGTCATCCGGTGCCATAGAACATCTAGGATGCACATGAATAGTTTCATGCTTTGCATTCTTCACTAGCTGGATCACCATTGACTCAGTTCTTGCTCAGACGAGCGTTTTCCTGACGAAAGTGAAATGTCATCTGGTGCCATCGAACATCTACGAGGTGGGTAAATATTCTCATCATTTGCATTCTTCACCAGCTGCAAATATCATAGATTCAGACGTTGGCGCCTCCTCATCGTCAGATGAGCGTTGCTGCTACGAAAGCGAAATGTCACATGGTGCCATGGAACATCTAGGAACTAGATGAATAGTTTCATGATGTGCATTCTGCATTAGCTGCATTATTGGCTGATAGATAAGTGACTTGATTTTGTTTTAATTTTTACGTCCTCTTTTATATTCCGTTGTATGTGTTTACTGGATTAAATATTTTGATGATGTTGCGATAGGTCGAAAGGGAAGTAAGAGTAACCTTTTAAGGTTAAAATACGAACATTATTGTTTTAGTCTAGACTAAGAAATGTACGGTATGAGAGATTTTCTTGAATCGGGAGGATTCGAGAGATTATGTCTATCGCTCAGAGAAGAAACCGATAATGTATAGTGGTATATTGCTATACACTGGAAAGTCGGGAATTATTTATAGAAAATGCTCGGCGATTTTCAAAAAGTCCATATATGAAATCGTCACAGATTTTCCAGATTATAGAAAATCGAATTTCCAACAGTGTGGAAAATCGACATCGATTTTCTACATTGTTGGGAATTATTTATAGAAAATCCTGGGTGAATTTCTGTCTAGAAAATCCTCCGAGATTTTATATATGGACTTTTCGAAAATCAAAAAGTCAGATTATTTTCTACTTTCTAGAAAATCCTCAGTGTTTTTCTAGATAATGAGGAAAAACAATTTGATGGGGATAATCGGAGACTTGCAAAGTGAAAATGGCTGAAGATAAACTTCTTCATCGTTATTAAAAATCATTGAACTTCGACGTTGAGTGGGGTGTATTATTTCAGCTTATTGAATGACAGTATGGGTCATTTAATAATGAAAATCAAATTCGACATCGCTGGCGTGTTGAACGACTGTTATTTTATTTAAAAAATAAAGAAAATAAATGTGAATTGTTAGGATCATGGCTTTGAATTAATAGAACCAATTAAATTTTTGGAAGATGCTAAATTCAGACATAAAAATGATGAATATTAACAAGAACGAATCGCTTGGCAATCTTCAGAAAGTTACGGTGGAACTCGACTTTTTCTCAACCAGGCAAATCAAGAACCTTTTCAGTACCTCTTTGCGATCTCCAAGTGTTATACAACAGCAGTACTTCGCGAAGAATATGTTGATTTGCAAAAAGTGAGAGAACTTTCCGAATCTGCTAACATTTGCTTTTTAGAAAAGAAACATAGGTTTTTAGTGAGTGAACTTTCGATAAACAAAGAGTCGGAAAAAGCATGTCTCGACTGGGAATCGAACCAGGATTTCGTTTAACAAGATTTGTTAACCGATGATTGTTAACGGTTATCCAAATGTTTGTTCATCGAAAGTTTAGTCTCTAAAAACTATGTTTCTTAACTTTCATAGTAGAAGTCTTTGTTCAAACTATTTTCTTGATCTTCGAACATAGTTTTTAAAAGGAAATGTTGGCTATCCGAATTAGAAGATTATTCTCTTTCTCGAATTATATTATATTTCTCGAAAATAGCCAAGAAGAGTAATCTTCCTCAATTTAACTTCTTGGCATTGAAATATTTGTAATAATATTTTATAACATTCTTTCTCTTTCTACTTTACTATTGTCTAAATCTAATGATTCATATTTAACAATTAATGATAGAACTCGTTTCAGTTGTTGAATCAATGTTTCTTGGATTAAATAACATTCTATTTTCACATAAAACTCATATTTTTGATCAATAATAAATGGATTAAACTCACTCATTTTTTCAATACTATTTAATAGCGATGAAACATCTTTTTTAGTTGGACAAGTTTTTTCCTGTTGCTCGATGTAAATGAAAGATATTCGCTTGATCTGTTCCGTTTTTTATTAAACTGCTGCTTCTACCCTGTACTAAAAATCGCATAAAAATCGGCAATTAATCGTGAAACATCATACTATTAATCGTGCGCTTAATTGACGATTTTTTTCTTGATAATAAGTTCGAACCCATCTTAAGAAATACATATTTTTTTCTGTTTTTTCATTGTTTATTATGTATAATGACATGTACGTCACTCAGCAAGGGTCTTACCGCCAACTGAAGTCGGAGCCTTTCCGTCGAGTCGATTTTAGACATTGCTCAGATATCAGCTGTTCACTGGGCTCATCGACTTAAAGCTCTGAGGGATCACCGGGAAGACTTGACAACCCCGTTTTACTCTAAAATAAAAAGATGATCTAAATAGAAGTATATTTCTCGATGAAATCGTGTTTCTTATATACATACTTTACTGCAAAATAAAGCGGTCAATAACAATAACCATTTAATCGCTTAAAATCAACAATTAATCGCAATTAATCTACGATTTTTCAAGAATTGCGATTAATTGTTAAAAATACCGCGATTTCGTCGACATGGGTATGTATTTCTTCGGATAGTTTAGTATGAATTTGTTCAAATTTTAAATAACAAACGATTATAATCTTATTAAGTACATATAAATTAGTATTTGTTTTAAGTTAAACTCATTTTGTGGTATTTGTAAATATCCAATAGTAGTTGAGTTACTGACAAATGTTTCTAAAATGTTAGGATCCTTCATTTCTTTTGTGTCTATTTCGGAAAACTTTTATCCATCTAACAATTTGAATATGTTTATTAAATTTTTCACTCTTATAACTGTAATCTATAGTTTTGAATTCAAAAATTTTCTTATCTATTTTTTCATACGCTAAAATAGCAATAAATTATCTGAAAATACTTTATCCGTTAATAATGAATTCCGTTCAGTTCATCAGTTTCATTCTCAACATGAAGCTGTTTATTTTTTATCAAAAGACGTTCATAATCTATTCGATTTGAAGGAAACTACTCTATTATCTTTATTAAGCGACACTTCTAATGGCGCAACAGCTGACGAGACTTAATTCGAATATAATCTGATTTAATTTTCGTTTTCACTAATAAAATCTACTTCTGTTTCTTTATTTTCTAATTCTCTAAGCCATTTTGTTTTTAATAAATCAGTTTTAAACTCTTCTAATTTAGTTTTTAATGATTTGTGTAATAATATTTATCTTCATTACTTCATTATCACCCCTCCCCGTAATAGAAGCCTCTCCACTATTAGAAGCTCCCCTTGTAGGGGGTCAATGTGAAAAATGTATTAGAAACCTCCTCATTTGAAAAAAATTTTGAAATTTTCGGGCAGTTTTATTGGTATTTCTAAAGTAAACACTGTCAAATTTTCAGGATTTCGAGGTAAAAACTCGTTTAAATTTTACACACCAGCATGCGAATCGCGAATTCCCTTCGAAAAGCTCTGGAAAACCTTAAAAGTTGTTACAAAATTTTTGTACGTGAAACCCTTGAAAAATAGTGGGACCTATTAGAAGCCCCCCCTAAAAATTTTGAACGCTTGGACAGTTTATAAGCCCCCAGGACTTCTGTTATGCGTGTGGGGGGGATGTCAGTCACTAACATTCTTTCCGCTTCCTCTTTTCATTTCTCATGACCACAAAGAATGCCGACTCATTCTTGTTGAGTCAACATGCTTTCTTCATCCGTATATTGCGTTTGTTTCTACACATCTGGGAAGTTTCTTTGTTGTGACGTTTTGTTTGATTTTATAAAATAACGTCCAAAAGTTGATACTTTTTAGTAGACGGTTTTTTCGTCACATCTTAGACTCCAAATACTGCAAAATAAACGATTAAGAGCGGCGCTGGGAGTGTACCATGCTACACCTGGACTACATACATTCACTAAGAAAGCAGATTCCAAATTACCCAAGTTAATAGATTATTGTACAGAACTAACTAAGCAAACATTTTTACGAGCAAAGGTGTATGAGGATGCTCTCTCATTAGAAAACCTACACAATCTTTTAACAGAATTGTAAATATCTTTTAAGTATTTTATTTTGTGTTTTTCTGATATAGGACCTCGGTCAACGGTCAGGCTTGTAATTTTCTTCAGGTTTTATTGATGAACTGCTGTTTCCTTATTTGTTTTTGTTTGATAGAAAAAAATGTTTATAATTTTAGATTTAATTAAAAAAATAAATGTCATAGTCTTTCCATATGTCTATTTCGTATCAGCTTAGTGCAAGTGTAAATTCATTCTGTTGAACTCTTTTATCTTTACAATATTATCACGTTTTATTTTAAAAAAAAATTTTTATGAGAAAAGAAAATTTTCAAGACTCAAATGAACACGAAACGAAAAATAAATATTTACATAAAACAACGCCATTCTAAACGAGTAATTATTCGAGAAAAAGAAAAAAATATTACAGTATAATGAGTGAGTGAAATTTTAATTGATTAAGAAAAAACTATCTTTCAAGTGGGTCATTTAAATATTTTCCGGTTTGCTTTTGAATCAATTGTTGAATACGTTGAATACAAATAAGATCACGAAACCATGGATATTTCAATAATTGTGACATATCGGGACGTGCATAAGTGTTTTTTTCCAATGTTTTATTGATGACATCTTTCAGTTCCCTTTTGTTATTTGAAATAGAATTAATAGAACGAATTGCACGTAAACGAAATATACTTTCACCGACATAAGCATTCAACAACGTCATTCCAAATGACCATACCTAAAGGAGAAAAGAATGAAAATAGAGGAAAATATGAAAGATGAGTTAACACATCTTACATCAGCATTTGTCGAATGTCCTGTTTGAAATTGAACTTCCGGGGCCATATAAGTTTGTGTACCGGCTATGGTCGTATTTAAATATCTTGATGATGCATAGACATACTTGGCTACACCAAAATCACTTAGTTTTGCTATTGTCTCTTTATCATTTGACATTAGTAGAATATTAGCCGGCTTAATGTCTCGATGAACCTAAAGCAAACGTGAAGTAAAATCGTAAGATCATTTAAGATGAATGAGTAACTAATCGCTCTTTAACATATTTTATAGAATATCAACTTTTTTTTTCAAATGCAAATAATAATCGAGACATTTCACTTACAATTTTCAATCGATGTAAATACGCTAGTGCAAAGGCAATTTGATAAAAAATAAATTTTGCTTCATCATCATTCATTATATAACTATGATTGATTCTATCGTACAATGAACCACCACCAGCATATTCCATTTCCACAAATAAATCAAATCTTTCATGATACACCTCATATCGTCTGAGAATACATGGATGATCGACACTTCCATGAATACTAACTTCACGATACAAATATTTACTAAATCCTGGACCAATTTGTTTTTCACATTGTTCTTTATTAATTATTTTAATTGCACGACGTGCATGCGTAATATGTGATAATGCTAACGACACTTCAGCAAAACTTCCACGGCCTAATAGACCACATTTCATATATCGTTCATCTAAATTAATCACATTGAATACACCATTCAAACGTACAAAACGATAAACTTTATTTTCATTTAATGCTAATGAACTAAAAAAGAACAAAATAAATAAAGATATATAATTACATTGAAGAAGAGAAAATATATGTAGCTTACATGATATGTTCATTATTTCTTAAAAAAATTTTTGTTTTATGAATAAGTTGTCCGTCAACAAAACAACCATTTCGACTAATATCATGAAATAGAATACGTCGATTATTGCCATCTTCAATTTTTGATTCCAAAATAAAATGTTTTGAACTTAAATGAACAAAATATTCATGTTGTTTCAATTCGACACTGTCCAATGATATGTCACATTCAATTGGGTTACGGCCAAATGTATAAGATGGTTTTGATAATAAAACTTTCGGATAAATCGATAACAATGGTTCAAGGTAACCCCACGATGAGGACGAACAAGACTGAAGAGCCATTTGACAAACTAAAATGTTCTTTTTTTTACTTCGAATTTTAAGAAAATACACTGCTGCGAAATATAATTCTTCACAGGGCAGTAACTGCTGATTGCTCATTGCCCCTAATATTTTTTTTCAGGACGGGCAATTGCTGTTAATTGGCCCGCCAAGGCATTTGACCAATGATTAACAAAAATGCAACTCAAAGCAACCAAGTTTCGTAAATAATTCTCTAGGCTACACAGTTATCTCAGTAATTTTTTAATGCACTAAGATGACGATCAGACAAAACATCGGAAATAAAGATATGCGGTATTCAATGCAGGAGATAAGTATGTTAAATCAAGTCTAGATTTTACACTTTTGAATTCCTGAACTGTGTAATTCAACAACAGACTTTATTTTCAACTCAAATATTAAGCAGGAGAAATACTCTCTCAAAACTGTATCGACTTTTCTATACTGAGAGAGGTAGAGATATATGTTCTTTTCTATCAAGAGAATGATTTTAAATTTACAACAGATTTACAAAAGAACTTCCTAGCGAATGTGCTTGCACACAAATACTTACTCAACCTTTCTGCGACATTCCTAGGATTTTTCCCAAGTAGATCAAGTACTTGTCAAGAAAGCCATGTACTTAAATTACTCCATCTTCTTGGCAAGTACTTACTCAAGTAACGCGTTAGTATCTGTGAGAGGTAGAACAAGTAAATCAAGTGTTTGACAAGTACCTGGACAAGTAATGATCAAGTGTTGTTTTATGAAAATACTTACCAAGTTTGAGTATTACTTGTCAAGTGCTTGCCAAGTACTCGCAAAGGTTCATAAGTGAGCAAGTACCTACGCGCAGATTAGAACTGTTTTTCCGAATGCTTTCTTTTTGTAATAAAGAAGTAAAATCGTTACGTACCTATAATATTGAGAAGCGTTCTACATAGTTTGTTTATTTTTCAAAAGACGGCTGACTTGTTTTTCTGTTAAATGATAGACACGATTTTTTTAAATATGATTCATACGAATGTTAGACTGTACGTTCGTTTTATTCCATTCTCTTTCTATATATCATCTTTCTTAATACATATATATTCGAATTCTTTAGCTCGCATGTAGTGTAGTCTTTCGTTCTCTTCGACCACGAATAAGTGTTCAATCATGGGAAAAAAGTCGAATCATTATTCTGACTCATCCACTTGAACACATACCAAAATACACATGTTACGATATAAGAGGAAGAATTTTCGTGTGACAAGCGGGGGAATGTGATTCATTTGTATTTCTCGTTCACGCAAAACAACTTGTCGGAGTTAAAAATAGCGTTGTTTCCGACGGCAGAAAATCTTAGTGATGTTTTTCTTGGGTTCCCTGCGTGACTCTTCTAGAAATTTTAAGAAATTATGACTTTTTCTCAAAACGAGTGCTCTTCATAAATCATGCTGGAAGTCTGTGAAATCAAGGATATCGTAGGAAGTTTAGTGGTTATCCGAATTTTCGCTTGAAGCAGTCAAGTGGTATCAGGTTATTTTGTCAACATGGATCTAATTCATCATGCAAACTTAACTTAGAGAAGTCGTCAGAAGTACTTTAACTCTTGAATTTGCACCTCTTTACTGGAATTTTAAGCTTCATGGATAATTTCACTTTTAACACATGTATGTACCTAAGAGAATAGATTTTGCAATGAATGATTCAATGAGAAAGTTTTGAACTGTGTGCTGAATCCTGTACGTGAATAAAATCTCAAATATAGTTTAAAAGCTATTTTACGTTTAGGCACTGTGTTATAAATATTACACAAGACATATTAGGTGGTTCTTGCTAAAAATCAAGTTACACAATTAAAAATCATGAACTTGTCACAAGGCCTTCTTGCTCTATACAACTATATATACTAAATCAACATTATATTTGAATTAGAAACCTGTTTTTTTTCCTTCAGTTTTTTGACGATTTGTTGCCCGTTATTTCGTGACCACTCTTTATCGATTTTTGAAGCTTAACCTACCTTTACTGGATCCAGTGGAAGAAGCTGGAACTAGTGTCAATCTATTAATTCCTGTTATTATAAACAGTGTGCCTGTGTTTCTTCTTGTGAAATAAACAGCTCAGATCATATTAGAACATAAATCCTCGTCGTACTGTAGAAAAAGGGAGGGCTCACAACCTGTAGTCTCCCAGGGATCCTGCGGAGTCCCTTAAAAGCTCCACTCCCTACTAGATCCTTCGACAGGAATCATGGGGGAGTTGGAAGTTTTGTCGGAAGTTCCAACTTGGGCATTGAGTAAGGTAAGAGAAAAGCCTTAACCGATTGAGTATGAATTTTCTATCAGCTTATAAGTAAAATTTTCGTTCCATCCCCCTAAAGTAAAATTGTACGTCACAGAAGAGAAATCTGTTCTTGATACTCTCTTGACTCTAAAAAGGAACCGTTCTATGCGACTTCAGGTGCAAAACTCACTTCAGTTACAACGAAACGCTCTATACTATATAAGTACATACAATATACCATAATAAAGAGGATGTTCGAAATTGTGCGACATCTACTCACTATACAGACATTGGTTAGGCTTGAATTCAATGAACACACCCATATAAAAGAAGAAAAAATCATTACTGTCGCGGCGCGCAGCCATTTTCAACAGGGGTTACTGACAGACAACAAAGCAGGCACACTATAATCTGACAGTACGTAAAAAATAAATATGAGTGACAACTTAAATCAATCAATATATCGCCCTGGCCAGAAATAGTTAGACTCGGCTCAACAAAGACACCCTCATCATCAGATTCCTCGGGAATACATTTTTTTCTCTTTTTCATTCATCTTTTCAAATTTATTTTTAATATACGAACAAGTTATTACAAAACTAAATGTGTAATCTCGAAGTACGTGAAAGCGTCTATCACCCTGTGCTTCCCTAGCCATGATTGGCTATTATTTGATTACAAAAATATTTGGCACATGATTTATATATCCACGTATAACGTTTTGAGGAATTGTGTTCCATACTTGCTGAACTAAACGTTCTAAACGCTGTTTATGCAACAACTCGATGGAACAATATCATTTTCAGTGATGAATAAGCCTTTGAAGTTGACGTTTCTGGTTTAGTTTACTGGATTCTGCATGGTCGTCCACGACCAACACATTCCAAAGTCAAGTTCAATTTCGCGTCGCAGCGTTTGGTGCAATCTGGTATAATGGTCGATCGAATTTAGTATTCATTCGTGGTCAAACTAATACTACAACGTACGTTCAACATCTGCAAGCTGCACTGAATACACATCTACGTCGTCTAAGAGGATATTATTTAATACATGATCGTCCCATATGGGCGCACACGACATTAGCACATGATTGGCTACTAAGTAACGGTATCAGATGCGTAGACAACTATCCCGCTGTTAGTCCTGATCTCAACGCTGTTGAGAGCGTTTGGTCTTGGATGAATCGATACATGCAGAGAAACCATCCGCACTCTCAACAGCGTTTAGAACGTTTAGTTCAGCAAGTATGGAACACAATTCCTCAAAACGTTATACGTGGATATATAAATCATGTGCCAAATATTTTTGTAATCAAATAATAGCCAAT